CTCTCCAGTGGGGCAGGGTCCCCCAAATCCCAGGCAGGGCTCCCCATAGCCCAAGATCAGTTCATCGACAGTGGGCCCACTGTGCATGCGCGTAGTTTAAAGGGCCCGCCAAGAGCAAAAAAGCCGCAGTTAGACTCCAGGAGCAGTGAGAGACATGCGGGTGAAAGCCCGCTGCACCCCCACTCCCCTGCTCCTCCGAAGCCCCCATAGCAGCCGTGGAGTCCCCCACTGACCTTCAGCACAGCCAGAGGTAAGCGGGGCCTATGGTGGGAGGGAGTTAACCCCTAGAGAGTGGGAGGAGGTGGCTGAGTGGGAGCCAGACCTGGTTTTACCCCGCCCAGGCACGTACTTCACCCAGTCCCTCAGGGACCCATGCGACCAGAGCCACATGAACAGGCTGTGCAAACATGTGTGCTTGTCTGGCAGCTTGCGAGTTAGCATGGAGTTCATGCAGGGGGTGTGCGAGAGGGCCCGAGGCCCTGCCTGGGAGCCCCCTAGGGTGGGCAGACTTAAACCCAGACCACCTACCAGCAGCATACCATGGATGGGCACTTGCCACACCCTGAGGGTCCCTTCGGGATCTGCACCCCCCCGGCACCTCAGAGACGGCCACCCAGACAAAGCCCATGTTTCCAGGCTCCATGCAGACAGAGCCCCTGGCTCTCGGCTGTGGGGGCTACCTGTCCCTTTTTCAGGCTCTGGGGCCCAGGAGCATGGCTACCTCCACTTGTGAGGTCTGCTCCCTTTTGGGGTCTCTGGTGTGCTAGCTGGAGGAGCTCCAGGTCACAGTCCAGAGACTGCATGCCATCAGGGACTGTGAGCAGGAGATTGACTCCTACTGTCTGGCCCTTCTCCCCTGGGAGCTGGAGGGTAGACCATTGACTCCCTCCAGGACAATGGAGGACTCAAGGACCTCCCATTCTGTCCAGTCAGGGGGATGCATCAAGGTGGTCAAGGGCCCTAAGGCCTGCTGCACCAAGGCCCTTGCCCTGCCAGAGCTTAGCAACAGGTATGAACCTCTTGTAGGCCCAGCAGAACCTGCTGAGTTGCCAGCTTCCACAGGCAATACAGGCTCAACTGCAGCTACCACCCCTGCTGTCCCCAAGACAAAACGTAAAGTGCTTGTTGTGGGAGACTCCATTCTGAGGGGGCAGAGGGAGTAATCTGCTCCCCCAAACCCTTAGCCCAGGAAGTCTGCTGTTTCCCAGGGGTTTGCATCCGAGACATTGCAGAGAAGTC